CTGGCACGCGCTTCCTCTCCGCGTTCAGCCATGGTTCTGGGAAGCCGCAGAATGGAAAGTCTTCCCCCTCCCGGACGAAGCGTCCGTTTAGGGTACCCTGAATGGGCCTATGCATTAATTCGAAAGGCTTCCCAGCCTGCTTAGCTCTGGCTCTTCCGGCCATTTCCTTACCCTTCCTCACCCAGTCCTCTTTGGTGGGCAGATAACCCAATCTAAAGGTGTGAGGGTTGTGTGGCACTTCGGCCAATGCTGCGACGCCTTTCCGGCCGCTTCTTCCCAATCCCATTCCGGGGATGTGTTGTAGCTTGTTCATGAGGTAGACGGATTGAGCACTGACGTACACCCCCTCACTCACAGCCATGACATTCTGCACCACTCGAGCCTCAGCCAAAGTGAACCCTGATAAGAACACATCCTCCGTGCCGTGCTCGATTTCCAAGACTGTGTGGACACTTTCGGCGGCGGATGGATTGACGAATTCACAAAAACGATCGCTACCCCCTTCCCGTGAGGGTACTTCAGCATCTGATGTAGAGTGGAAGAGACTGCCTTGACCTGGTGCAACCACGGTCGCCCCAAAAGTAGGTTAAAGGTTGCGGGAACGTCCAAGACATGAAATTCAATGTTGTGTTGTCCTGGACCAACCTTGGTTTGAATTTTGACAGTCCCCATCACTTCCCTGCTGGTATTGTCGTATGCTCTGATCACTTGAGTAGTTGGGACGAAGTCCGCGGGCTTCAACCCGATTGCATACGTTGTCTTGGTTGGGCAGACATTAATAGCAGACCCGGTATCAACAAGTACCACCGGTATCCACTTTTCTCTACATTCCACGGAAATATAGAGGGGTTTGTTGTGATTTGTGCCCTCAGGCGGTAGCTCCTTGTCTGAAAAGGTTAATGCCGGGGAACCTCCTCCCGGAAAAACCAGCCCGACCAGCTGTTCTGGTGTAGTATCTATGGAGAGTTTGGACTTGTCCATAGCAGATAGGACAGCTTGCCTATGTACTCTCGATGCCATAAGCAGTCCCCAGATGGAGATGTCTGCTTGTATCTTCTTTAACTGCTTCAGCACAGCTTCATCTTCAATCTGCTTCTCCTTCTGTCTCTGCGCTTCTCTGTCCTTCCCGGATGCCTCGGGTTGGTCTAGGTGCGGGGGCTTGAAGTACCGCACACTTCTTGTCATGTGGTCAACCTCATCGAGGTACCAGGTGTCATCCGGTTGATTGCTTCCCCAGTCATCATCCGTGTGGGCAAGACATAAGTCATCGTCTTCCCACCACATTCCGCTAGC